CCCCCTCCCCCCCCCCAAATTCTGCCAAACCAACTTTGGGTCGAGTGCGTCAAACCAACGAAACCGGAGCCGGAGGGGACGCGGGGCCACCAAGGGCCACCATGGGCTACTGGGGCCACTGTGGGTCACCCAGGGCCAGCGACGGGACCATCAGGGGCCACCCAGGGCCACCACAGGGTCACTGTGGCCACCAAGGAGACGGCCAGGGCCGTCAAGGGTCACCCAGGGCCACCGGACGGTCACCACAGGGTCACCATGGGGATGGCCAGAGGGCCACCACGAGGCCACCACAGGGCCAGCACAGCAAGAGCCAGGAGGTGGCTGGGGCCACCACAGGGAGTCAGGGGGTGGCCACCACCGCCGTGGGGGACAGCCAGGGCCACCAAGGGCTACCACCAGGATGGACAGGGCCACCACAGGAAGAGCCAGGGGACAGCCACAGCCACCACGGGGCCACCAGCACCATGGTGGCACTGCGGCCACCACAGAGGTGACCAGGGCCACCAAAGGGACCAGAGGAGAGCCAGGGCCATGGAGGGGGTGGCCGGGGTCGCCATGGGGACAGTCAGGGTCGCCATGGGGACAGTCAGGGCCACCACGGGGTCAGGGCCACCGTGGGGATGGTCACGGACAGGAACCAATAAAGGTGACACCAGTTCTTGGAGCCACCACCTGTGTCTGGGGGGGCATGGGGACACGGGGGGGGGACACCGGGATGGGATAGCAGGACATTGAGAATGGGATAATGGGGATGGGATAATGGGACATCGGGAATGGGATAATGGGGATGGGATAATAGGATGACAGCAGGGATAGCAATGGGATAATGGGGTAACGGGGATGGGATAACGGGGTAGCAATAACGGCATAACGATGGGATAACAGGACACTGGGAATGGGGAATATTGGGAATGGGGACAGCAGGACCGGGGCCAGCCCTGAACCGGGAGTGGGACACGCTGGGGACACACCGGGACAGGGGGACACGGGGGCGGCACCGGGACAGGGGGACACCGGGGCCTCTGGAGGTGTCGCCCCCCGGCCCCCCCGTTAACGCCGCCCCTCCCCCAGTGCCGGGCCGAGCCCTGTCCCCGCCGAGGGGGCGGAGCCTCGGGCTCAGGCCCCTCCCCCCGGGCGCGCCCCCGCTCCGGCCCCGGGCGCGCGCTGCGCACCGTGACCCGCCCGATCGTGGTGACACTGGGGACACCCGCCACCCCCGCGCCCGGTACGGGACCCCCGGGCGGGGACACCCCCGGGACCCCCCTCTCGGGACCCCCGGACCCCGAACTCCGCTCCAACCCCGGGACCCCCAACTGGGACCACCCCCACGCACCCCCCGCGCGGGGGCCCCCCCCCCAACCCC